GATACAGAGCCAAGACAGACATACAAATGCAAATTATATAACTAAATTAAGAAAAATAAGGACACAAACAATAGGCAGAACTCTGCTGGTGTCTTATGCAAGTGTAAGATCCCCTCTGGAAAAAATTGGACATTTTTGTTCAATGTGAAAATGTCAACATTTTGTCCAAGACTGTGCAAGCAAAGTTCCGCATAAGGTGTCATTGCACATGTGCATTGTGCATGTTGAAATATAGATGCACAGTGTGCATGCAAGTTAGGTATTATGCATGCAGATGAGCATGTGATTTTGGTTACACATTTGGTTGTGCAAGATCACAATTCATGCACAAGATGGCATTCTGCCACCACCATGTCACTCTATGAGTGTAAGGTGATGATCTATCTCCTTAGTATAGGATCCTAGCCAATTACTGATATATAAAAATAAAACTTATTGCATCAAAGAGTGCCATTTAAGTGAGGTCTTCAGGTAGGGAAACAACAAAACTGAAGTACCACTAAATTGTCTTAACCAAAGCAAATTGGTGCATTTGCATTCAGAAAAGGTGGATAGCTTGTGGCCCTCTAGATATAAATGGACTACAACTTCAATCATCCCTAACTATTAGTAATGTCAGTTAGGATTGGTGGGGGTTGCATTCCAACAAGCAGAATAGCCCTGCTGGATTTAAGAAAAAAATGTGCTTCCTAAAAAGAATAGCTTCAATATGAGATACAGAAAAATAACTAGAGATTGCCATTGTATTGATAGCCAGAGTTAGATGTCTTGCTTTCCTAATTTATTTATTAGTGTGCCCTCCAACTGTCCTTATTTGATAGGGACAGTTCCAATTAATCGTCTGTCCTCCCACTTTTTCAGTTGCTTTTAAAATGTCCCAGTTTCTTCCCCCCACTTCCTCCTTTGTCCTCAACCTTGCTGCAAACTGTTTATAGTGTGAAAGTGGGAAAGTAGTTTGCACTTTATTAAAGGAGGATAGAGGAATGGAGCAAGTGGAATCTTGCCTTCCTAGTCAATTCAGACCAAAGTAAACTTCTGCAGCCTCTAGTCCTAGCTTGTGTGTTATTCTTCATTGATAACTTTACACTCTGATGTTGCTTGGCCACATTTGTCCCATTTTCGTCTGTGAAATGCTGGCAGGAATTAGCTTTACAATTATGAATTGTTGACTGGCTAGCATAAAATCACAAATTGCATAAGAACTAAGAAAGAATCCCTCCAAATTTAAGATCTCTAAACCAATCTTCTCTCTTTTCTTCCCACAACTCAGCTTGTTCGGAAGACTGTAGTAAGTATTGGAACCCCTTCCCCAATCACCTCTGAACCCTACCCAGTTTTTCCCCCTCCAGCCAGTCCCTAAATCTTCCTGTCTGAAATGGATGACCCCCTAAGGGCTTCTGGTTGTCAGCCTTGATGTTCTTCCTTTTGGTAGCCATGACTGAAGGTCCTGTTTTGGACTGCTGGACCTGCCTACGGATTGTTGTCCAATGTTTTGATGGAGAGCTCTGCGGAGGTACGGCCTGAGCAGAAGGGCAGGGATGCTTTGAGGCTCTGACGCTTGTTTCTGAACCTATTGCATTTTGGGGAGCCAGGGTGGGGAGCATGGATTGAAGAGTCTTATCTAAATATTTGGAGTTGTCCTATGTGAAGAAGAGATGTCCATAATTGCCTAAGTTGATATATAGAGTCATCTTGTAGCACCATTGAGAGTAACTGGAAGAAAGAAGTTGGCAGCATGAGCTTTCCTAGACTTCAGTCTACTTCCTCAGATGCATTTAGTAAAGTGGAAACCAGGGACAGATCTATATATGCTACAAGATCTAAATACTGATTTTATAGACTAACACAGCTATATTTTTGAATTCTGCCTAAGATGGTGATTTTTTAAAATTTCTTTCCAAACTTTTTCAAGTGGTTAATAAGATGTTTCTATTGCCTCCTAGTGGAAGACAAACGTCTTGCAGAATACAATGAGGTTGTGCTTTACATATTCCTCGTTTGTGAGTCTGTGGTGTTGTCTTCAGCTGTGTTGATGTGAGTAGCTGGCTCTGCCATGTCTCCTTAGTCTCCCATGGAATCTGGGACTCCAGGCTTTTAGGTTTTCCTGATCATCCCGCTCTTCTTTGGGAAGAAGCTAAAATTGCCATTTGTGCCAAAAACTTTATTGCAGGAGTGGGAATTATGTGGCTCACTAGATATTGTTGGACTGTATGTCCCGGCAGCAATAGCTGGCATAGGTAAGGGTGAAGAAAATGCTGGAAACTCTGGTTACATGGCATCTGGAAGGATACCTGACACCCACATGTGTACCCTATTTTTTAACTCGGTTTGTGATTCACTTTTGCTCCAGGTTGATGAATCGATTGCAGTCAATGAGTCGTTCCCACTATGGAAGCGGGTCTTTTCTTTATTTACTTCTTTTTTGGCATGATTGTCATTCCCACTAGTTTGTGCCCCTTCAAAATGTCTGTCAATC